CCCCCCCCCTTGAGAAAATCATTAACATATGAAGTCATTGTGGGAGATACCTGGAGAAGGATTGACGAACTAAGTGAATGAAGTCGTCCTGGGATCTCGCATTAACACGACTAGCAAAGGTAAGTCATGGTAGTCACCAACCCTATAAACGCAAATCAACGTAAATCATTATTACTCGCACGTGATATATCAAACTAAATCTCCATGAAATACCTTGCATAGAAGTTCTCCCAAGTGCCATATTAGGAAACCCTAATTGCTCAACTTAGCACAACTTGCAATAGAAATAATAACATATTTGTCATTTCATATACTAAGCTAAATCCATCATCCAACATTCCAACCTAAGGTCCAACATTTCAAACCAAAAGGAATTGAACAATTCTTCCTCTATTGTTAAATATATCAAAATCTTCACAAGAAAACAGTAAAGATATTCTATGGCATAATAAATTATGGTTGTAAATTTTCTAATAAATCAAATATTTTAACCAAAATTAAATTGTTATAAATTTTAGAATTATTAAATTTATTATAATATCAGTGTAATATAAATTATTCATATATTATATTTATTGAAAAATACATTTAATGATTTTAAAATTCTTCATAATATTACTTTTTTATTTTTTTAATATGAATTAACTATATGATAAAATATTTTATTTATAAAAAATTATCATAGTAGATTCTCTGTTTAATACAGCTCATAAATGATCTTGAAAATTTTTTATATTTCTTTGACTTTGCAACCCCTTAATTAAATTGTACAATGTAATTGTCTTTTATGCTAAATTATTCTCCGTCCATCCAATTTCTCCGTATTTTATTCCCAAAAAATTAAATATTATGTCTTTTACTCTATTTTATTCAAATTTGAGAAATTTATTGCAATTTATTTCCTTATATAAAATTAAATATCACATGACAAGAAAATAAAAAAAAAGTAAAATTAGGATTTGATGAGAAGAAATTTGAGTAAAGTTAAAAATAGGGCCCACAAATTTATTTTCCTTAAAATTTCCAAAATAATTAAAATCATTTAAAAGAATATATATATATATATACTAAGCAAACAAAAGCAAAATAAAATTATTTTAAGAGCGCATATTCAATTTTAACATCATAAAAGTATGAATGTAATCTACTACATAGCAAACATATATCAATTTTAATATATAGATAATAAAAATTTTCAAACATTAATTGGAGGACCAAACTCTAGGGGTGTAAGTGACTCGTGAGCTGGTTCAAGCTCAACTCGATAGATACCTAGTGAACTGAGCTCATTGAGCTAATCAACCAAGTTTGAGCTAGCCCTGACTCAACTTATCAGCTCATTAACTTGCTTGCATAAAAATATTAATTTAAAATACACTTAAAATATTTTAGCATTGTTAAAAAATTTAAAATTATTTCTCAATTTTGCATATTAAGTTAATATTTATTAATGTTCTTCTAATTTTTTGTTTCTTTTATCATTTTATTGTAACGATGGTTTAAGTCATAATTATTTTTTCTCTTTCATAATAAACGAGTCGGCTCGTAAGCCAGCTCAAACTCATTTTTTTTTTTAGAAAATTTATTTGTCTTCTAGCAAATCAAGTCCAATTAATCCAATGGATAGCATGTCATTGCTTGGCTTTTCCTACAAGTAAGCACCTGCCCGGTCCCTCCAAACCAACTGAACCGGACCCGGTCCAACCAACTTTAATTATAATTATGCTATGTTAAAAATAATTATTAGTAAATTTATTAGCCAAAAAATAACTAAGAAAAAGTAAAAACTCCTTACAATTATATTTTAATGATTTTAATCAGTGGTTTTTCAAAAAAAAAAAGGATATTTTAATTTAAATTAAATAATGAAATTATAAAATTTATTTTTAAATAAGTATAATATAAAATTTAATTGATCCATGACATATCATATTAAAACAAATTTAACGGCTAAAAAACTAATAAGAAAATTATTTCGATATATTTTAATATAAATTATATCATGAATGAACTCAAAAGTTATTGAATTTATTTAAGAGTAATATAATATATAATATTTACTTAAAAATAAATATAAAATTCTTAAATATCTATATATATTTTTTTCAAATTTTATCTTATTATTTTTACAAACACAATCACGCACAAAATGATAACTGAACTCAATTTTAAACTCTGTTATGGAATTGAGATTAGTTTTAATATTGAAGTTAATTATGATTAATGATGAGATTTGTGATTAATTATGATTCAGATGATTATGAGAAGTTCTATAACACTGAAAGCTGAGAGATTATTACATGAGGAGTCCGGACACGCCAAGTCATCCAATGTACTTGTTCCATCATAGAATATTCGTGACAGTGGAGAAGTATAAAGTTTAACATCTTAAATTAAAACTTTAATACTATTAAGAGAAAAAAAAAAGAAAAAAAAAGTTTAACGTCTTAACATTGTATGAAGATCCATCACACAAACAGATTAAAGAGAGGGGTTAGCTTTCATAAGTGACATCAAGATTTTTATGTGGAAAACTCTAAAAAGGGGAAAAATCACGAGGTTTAGCCCAGTTTGAATGAATTCACTAGTATTTGCAGTTGATTACATCATTGGAGGGAAGAATTTGTTTGAGATAACAAATATACATCATATAGAATGCATTACACGTTGGAAATTGGAAGAATTAATATTGATATGTTAGGGTCGGCAAAACTAGGGGTGTCAATATTTGACATGACCCGAAAATCCGACTTGACTCCAACCCAAAAATTCTAGGTTAGGGTCAAACCAGAATTGAAACGCATCAGGATCAGCTTCAACAATTAGAGCTGTTTCAAACATCGGGTTTGATTTGGCTTGACCCTTTGACCCAAAGTTAACTGGTTTTGACCTGGAAATCCGAGATTGATCAATTTTTGACCTATTTTGACCCAAAAGCAGAGATTGACATATTTTTTTTACCAAAAAACTAGCTGTATTTTCACGTCTCCATGTCATTCGGGTTGACCCGGATCCAAAGAAGGTCGGGTTCAGGTCCAAAAAATCGACCCGTTTGTAAAAACATGTCGGGTTTAGGTTGACTCGAATAATGCTGGGTCTGTTTCAAGTTTGACCCGAGCCCGACTCGTGACCCAAAATTGACACCACTAGGCATGACCATAGTCGACGGGCAACGGAGGTCAGAAAGATCATATTCGGATGGCGAGAGAGGTCGGAATGATTATTATTTGGTGACGGAGGTATGAAGGATCATTGTCTGGTGGAAATCTGGTGTCTACTGACTAGGGCTGCAAATGAATCGAGCCAAATCGAGTACGTGAGTGTTCATGTTTGTGTTCATTTATTATCAGCTTATTCAAGTTTAATCCGTGTTTGATTCAAGCTTTTTTGTTTGTGTTCATGTTTGATTTGTTAAAATTAATAAGTGTTCATGTTTGGTTTATGTTTGGTTTATGTTTGTCTCATGTTCAGTTCATTTAGTGCTCATTGAGCTTTAAACAAATAAGCTTTAACAAACTATAAACGAGCTCTACTTCTAGATATTCATTAACTTAACAATCGAGCTTTATCGAGCCTCCTAACAAATAGTTACATCAAGCAAGTTCGTGAAAATATTTAGTAATTTTTTTAAAAATATTAAACATATCTAACGAGTATTATTGAGTTATAAATGAGCAAGTTTATGAACATATATAACTAGATTTTTTGAGCTACCAAATAAGTTCGCTCACGAACAAGTGATCTATGATTAATCTTATTTTTATTCATGAATATTTTAATCAAACAATCAAACAAACATGGACATATGTGAAATGTTTCTTGTAAATGAATCGAACACGATTTGAGCTTTTATCGAGCTTCTTATCGAGCCTAACGTCAAGTTTGTTCACAAGCTTTAAATGATGTAGTTCAAGAACATAAAAGAGCCGAGCACATTAGTGTTCAAGCTTATTTATTTAAGGATCGAGTATTTAAAATAATGTTCAAGTTTGTTTGTTTGGTTAATTAAACGATCATAAATGAGCTTTAATGGAACAGTACAACGAGTGCTCGTTGAATGCTTGGTTCGCTTGCAGTCCTACTACTGACGGCCAAGTGGAAGCTTTCTTAAACAAATCTGAACCGTCTATGATAATTACTGCTTAATTATAAATTCATCTCAACCGTCCGTCACTTTGAATCGGACTTCACGGATTCTCTTTACGCGATTTAAAGAACGAGTTAAGTCCGCATTATTCAATTCCCAACGAACCCCATCGACCCATAAAATTTACTTGTTGGCTTTCATACCAACAACCAGGGCATGATCGGTAATTTCATGAGATACTCGGGTTTTTTATGCAATAGTTTGAAAGTTGAAAGGAAACTTCGCGCGGCGGCGAAGTCGCCGAGGTGGGTGAGTTGCGGAAACAAGTTAAAATGATCCGGAGGCACAGCGGAACACCTTGTTGGCGATTCATCGACTTATTTAAAGCTCGAAGACCACCGAGTGGCGACGCCAGAGCGGCATCTTTCACATGCCGGAGGCCAAATTCACGGCGGAATTTTCTTATTGAAACAGAACGTGGCTGCGATTTAGTCCTCGTGAATCGTAATCTTACTAATCTTGTTCTCCTCTTACACGCCGCCGGATTGGATCGGATTGACGATGGGATCGGAGCTCATTTACCGCGGCCACGAGGCTCAGCCACTTGGCGATGCCGCCTACTCGCCGAAGCAGATGAAGCGATGGCCTTCGCTGCCGCGCCCGGTGCGGTATCTTCTACGGGAGCAGCGCCTTTTCTTCCTGATAGCTGGGATGGCTCTGGCAACGATCGTTTTCGCGTTGGTGCCGAGATCGCCGGCGGGTCATCAGGAGATAGCCGGGGCGGCGCACCTGATGGTGGGGATGGCGGCGACGGCAGAGAGGCGGTGGCAAGCGTTGGAACCGGCGAGGATAGGCTCTGTTGGGGGGAAAGTTCCGCTAGGGCTGAAGAGAAAGGGACTAAGAGTGGTGGTAACGGGCGGGGCGGGATTCGTGGGGAGCCATCTGGTGGATCGGTTGATTGAAAGGGGGGATAACGTTATTGTGGTGGATAATTTTTTTACCGGGAGAAAGGAGAATGTCATGCATCATTTTGGAAACCCTAATTTCGAGTTGATCCGTCACGATGTGGTTGAGCCGCTGCTCCTTGAGGTTGATCAGATCTACCACCTTGCTTGTCCCGCTTCCCCTGTTCATTACAAGTTTAATCCCGTCAAGACGATTATATCCTTTTCATTGATCTGATTTTAATTTTAACCCTCTGGGTTGTTACTGCAGCTGGATTTGGAGTTCTTCTTCTCTAATATCTTGCTTAGTTTTTGGACTCACGAAACTTAATTTTCCTTTGTTTTAACCCCGGATTGAACCGCTTTATGTTTTATTTTTTGTTTTTTCCCCTTTTGTCTCATTTCCCCCCTTTTACGGTCTAGCTTATTGCTGATGAAATCCAAATAGCATTTTGATTTGTTGGGAATTGTTTGGCGGTTTTTCTATTCTTTGATCATATCATCTTTCTTCACACATCCAGTAAATTTTGTTTGTTGATTTCTCTGTTTGCTTTTCTTCGTCAATTTCCTTAACTCTTACGATTTGGCCGAGCGCACAAGACAAACGTGGTGGGAACCCTCAACATGCTGGGGTTAGCCAAGAGGATCGGCGCCCGCTTCCTCCTCACGAGCACCAGCGAAGTCTACGGCGATCCCCTTCAGCACCCGCAGGTCGAAACCTATTGGGGCAACGTGAATCCCATCGGTATCTCTCTCTTTCTCTCTCCACCTGTTATCTCAATTTTCATTTCCATGGCGTTGTCTGTGGTTTCCAAATTTCTTGTATTCTTGTGTTATTCACACGCGGTAGTGGGGGCACGCAGGGGTTCGAAGCTGTTACGACGAAGGGAAGCGGACAGCCGAGACTCTGACCATGGATTACCACCGCGGAGCTCAAGTTGAAGTACGAATCGGCTTCCTTCGTTGTCAACACAATTATTAGTGAGTACTATTTTGTATTTTGATTAATGGAATTTAAATTGGGATTAGGTGAGGATTGCTAGGATCTTCAACACCTACGGGCCGCGCATGTGCATCGATGATGGGCGGGTAGTCAGTAACTTCGTCGCCCAGGTTAGTTACTTAGTTCTATCTTTTGTATACTTACTAGGATTTTCTTAATTGCTTGTAAGTATAAAATATATTATGATTTTTTTTTTTGTAAGATTATGAAAAATAAAATTGAAAGTCCTATATATACGAGTAAAAAAAAACTTTAGATTAAGGGAAAAACTTATATTAAAATATTTTGATCAGAAGTTAATCGGGAATAAAACAGTCCTTGCATAAAGAATTTGTGATGCTGGCTAATAATTTTTTAACATTCATTAAACTAAGCACCACTTTTTAATAATGCTGAATCCACTTATTTTAAATATTGATTGGAACGCCAAATCCACATCAGCAGTTTACCCACCGAGACTTAGGGTGTTTGGTGCGCGAGCAAGGTTGGGATCCCTTTATCTCGGGTTCGAATCACTTCTACTACGGTCTCACCTCTTCAGTGGGACAAAGCAAGTGTGGGCCCGATGCCGGTGGGTGACCTCGCTAGGTTCTGGTGAGAGATTAGTTATGCTGTCAAGATCTCCCCTTGGAGTGGTAGCGGGTAGATACCCCTGTTCTAAAAAAAAAAATCAGCAGTCTAAAATAATTGTCCTACTCTACTAATTTCACATTTCTCCAATAACAACAATATCAAGTTTTTATCCCACAATTAATTTGTTGGGACAAAATTAGTGGTGTAAGTCATGATCTTGCTCAAGCTCAGCTCCAGAAATAATTTGTGAGCAGAGCTTGATGAGTTAATGTGTCATATTTGAGCTAAATTTTGACTCAACTAGATAACTATATTAGTATAAAATATATTTAAAATATATTAAAATTCAAGAATTTAAATATAAAATTATTAAAATTGTCTAAAAATTATATCCATCTTTCTTAAACAAAATGGTTATTTGTTATTTCCTTTGTAATTTCTCTTTTTTTTTCTTGATTTTTTTTTTTAAATTATTTGAATCATAATCATTTTTTCGTTTTATAATAAGTATATTAACATGAGCTCTAACTTGATTTACTTGATTAAATAATCAAATTTGAGCCTGAACTCAATTAAGAGATTACTCCACTTGGGCTCTACTTATTTACACCCCTATACAGATCAGTAGATTATTATAATATTTTTTTTTAAATATATTTGATTTGATGTGCCTTTTAATAGTGAATTATATGACTGAAATAAATTTTACTTATGTTAACAAAATATGAAGAACAAGAATTTGGCTGGATTTATGTGAATAACTAGATAAGAATCATGTGAATGTGAATCTACTTTAATTTTTGTTCTTACTGTGATCAATGGTGCAGGCGTTAAGAAAGGAGCCACTAACAGTCTACGGCGACGGAAAACAAACGCGAAGCTTCCAGTACGTGTCGGACCTGGTGGAAGGCCTGATGAAACTAATGGAAGGAGAACACGTCGGTCCATTCAACCTCGGCAACCCCGGCGAGTTCACCATGGTGGAGCTCGCCCAGGTGGTTCAAGAAACCATCGACCCGAACGCCCGCATCGAGTTCCGCCCCAACACCGAAGACGACCCTCACAAACGCAAGCCCGACATCACCCGCGCCAAGGAGCTCCTCGGCTGGGAACCTAAGGTACCCCTTCGCAAGGGCCTCCCCCTCATGGTTTCCGATTTCCGTAAGCGCATTTTCGGCGACCACGCCACCACCTCCTCCTCCTCCTCCTCCTCCTCTACCTCTGCTTCATCTGTTTGATTTCTCCTTTCTTTCTTTCTTTCTCGCCCTTTTGAACAAAGAAAGAAGATATATTTCGCCTTCGCCCCCTCTCATATGTTCTCTTCGGGGTTTACAGTGTTTTTTTATTTTATTTTTTTGACCGCTGTTAAACAGTTTTATTAGTACTGGTCGAAACAGGAGAGCAGTTCTGTTTTCTTTTTCGAATATAAATATAATCTCTATATTTTACGTGATATGTGTAATCTCGCAGTTCATTTTTATGCAAGGGATTTGTATGTGGATCACTGAATTTCTTTGTATTTGTGTATCTACACTTAAATTTTTATATTATTTGAATATCTAAAATTGTTTCTCATTTTGAATAATATAAGTGATATTTTTTATGTCATTTGAAGATTAGTGTCTTATATAACTAAACATAAAAATCTTATGTCATTAAAATTAATATCTAAATAATATCTAAAATTGTATATCATTTTGAAAATATAAGTGATATTTTTTATGTCATTTGAAGATTAGTGTCTTATATAACTAAACATAAAAATCTTATCTGTCATTAAAGCTACTTCAACCTTTTTATATATATATATATATATATATATAGTCTAAAGACCACTTTAGACATTTATGTGATCAAACCATCTAAGGCAACTCTCTCTTAATCTTCCACTGGTGCTACTCCAAACTTTTCACGTATATACTCATTTTGTATCCTATCTCTAAAGGTAAAGCCACTCATCCACATGAGCATCCTCATCTCTGCAATACTTAACGTAGTATTATGTTTCTCTTTTAATGGCTAACATTTGGCACCATAAAGCATTGCAAGTCTCACCACCACTTATATAATTTTTCCTCAAGTTTGAGGGGGACTTTTCTATCACACAACAAGCCCAATGCATTCCTCCACGTCAATCATCTAACTTGAATTTTGATGATAATATCTCATATATTTCACCATCACTCTATAAACAATAGATCCAAGATATCTAAAACATGTACTCTTATTAATGTCTTGATCGCCCAAAGTTACAATCACCTCACTAGGTCTATTATTATTAAAATCACATTCTATATATATTCATTTTTAGATATACTCAAGCGAAAACCTTTAGACTCTAAAGTTGATCTCCATAATTCAAGTTTACCTTCAATTATCTCACTAGTCTTATCAACAAGAAGAATATTATTAGCAAAAAGCATACACTAAGGTACATCCTCTTGCAAATATGTAGTGAGAATATCCATAACTAAAGCAAAAAGATGTGGGTGGGGGTTAAGGGTGATCCTTGATATAATCCAACCGAAATAGAAAAATACTTGGTCAAACCACCTTGTGTTTGAACACAAGTAATAGCTCTTCTATGTAAAATCTTTTTATATCAAAATTATGAGATGAAGTTTTTTTTTTTTTCAATTGATATAACTTATGAAAATTAACTTTGATTAGCACAAATGATGCTGCAATATTTATATTAGAAACTTTAAATTCAGAATCATCCACAGTTCGATTTCAGCAAACTCATAATGAAATGAAGTGCCTTGACAAGATGAATCAAATGACAGAAAAGGTAATCCGATCCAAGTTCAAATATGCCTAAATCAAACACATCAAAGATAGTCAAAAAACTTTTTGGCTAGATTTACTTAAAATGCTATACTCTCATTACTCACGCGAACACAATCTAAACTTGAGTTGGGAGGGAGTATGGATATTTGAAGAACTTTAGAGCTCTACTTGATGTTCGACACTGGAAATCACTACCAACTAATATCATCCCCTAAATGAGATTGCACGATTGTGATCTCCTAACTACTATCAATTAACCATCACTTGACTTCCATCATTTGACCGCCTACTATTATAAGCTAATAACTATCATTGTTTGATTCCATCAATCATTTGTCGTCATATGATTGATTGTCATTATAGACCATCATTGTCAAACAAACATCATTTAACTAATGCATATTTGACATTCTCTCTCACATTTATAGAAATACAAACTTGTAATCATGTCTTCTCAAATTAAGGGGGAGCGAAACTTTTATAATATATCTATATAGTATATCATTTCATATAGGTTAGGCCAAGTAGTTTTTTCTCTTTCGAATTTTCCACGTAAAAATTATAGTTTTTACTGTATTTTTAGGATAAAATTTGTACCCCTATGGCACACCAACGCTCAAGTGTTGGCATTGCAGCGCTATATTGTAGTTCCTCTATACTTTTAGTACTTAGAGAAATTCCCGCATAAAAAAATAAACTCAACTTGTACGTAGCAATTGCACGTATTGAAAACAACCTTTTTTATTCAATATATGATAAACGAATTAGGCTCGGATCCAATAGATATTCAAGTCCGACCAATTCGGGTTAGACCCAAATCCAACCCGCCAAACTCAAATTGATACCTCTAAATTAGATAACTTTATGGTAAGTTAATAGGTAGAGCAAGAAATTTGTTTGTTTTAAGTTGCAGACTATAAATTTTGGATAGATCATCAATCTTTTTAATCCGAACTTAGAGAATTTGTGATTAATATTAATTATTTAAAAAAAAATTATTGTTATAAAATTTTAATGTAAAAAGATAAAATAATGAAAGGATAATAAATATCATGATATTTGTAAAACTAGGGACTTAAATAGATTATAATACACAAGTTGGGGAGATTCAACATAAAATCTTATAAGTATGAAATTAGTTTGAGCAAGTTAATCTCTAACTCAATAAAATAAGTAACAATGAAATAGTTATAAGAGCAATGAACAAAGATATTAGCCCCTATACGGGGGACAAATGGTGAGATTGTCACTTATAAGTGCAACAAAATGCGAGATTGACTCGTGTGGGCGACAAACCACGAATCATATCTATATGATAGCGAAGAATGATGACACCGGCTCTTGCATCAGACAATAAATTGTATTTCCATGCTCCATGTGGGACAACATATTGTAAGATTCGACCCTCGTGGTCGTGGGTAGCGAATAATAAGATTGGTTTGATCGATGAGACCAAATACATGCAATATGTTGGCAACTAAGTTCTCGATGGGAAAAAGATGTTACATTGAAATCATGGGGTTTATATTACCTCTTAATAACATAATAATATAATATAATAGAATTATTATTTATGACATTGAGCATAGCTAATGGGCCATGAGGACCCACTTTAGATCCACTCATAAAAGAGCTAACTTTGTTGACATATTTGAGTTTTGTAGCTACTTTGATGCACATATTTAATAACAAATGAAAGACCACATTCTAAATAATTAAAGATATAATCATTTAATTATTATATAGTATTTTATAATTACTAATTATTTTACTCAATAGGCCCGTCTAAGGTTTGCTTCACCTCTTCTCCATTTGTTCCTGTCGACTTCGCCGCCAGGACGCGTGAGCTCGCGCGAGGTAGTGTTTCCTCCTTCGGATCGGAATTCAGAAGTCACGATTGATAGACGACACGTTCTTACCTTTGCCTCCTTCGACGACGACGAGAACTCGCTCGCTGCAATGGTAAATCCTGCTTGAAGTCCGATAACAAGCAGACCCCTTAGTTTTATTTTTCTTGGAGAAGAACTTTGTTTCAGAAATCTTTATCATTTCTTTAATGGTAATACTGAGTTCTGCAGGACACGAATTTGATTGCCAACACTCAATCGAACGTTCTTTCTACTGTATTTGAGTTCTGGAACTCATTAATCTTGCTATGGATGACTTGAGTTCCGGAACCCATTAAGCTTACTCTTGATATAATATATTTCAAGCTGTTTAGCATTAGGCGGCCTTCAAGCTGCAATCCCCAATGAATCTTAATAGAGTTAATCAGTCCGAAGAATGCAATCATTTTAGGAGAGTAAAGTATGCGTTCAGCTCAACTACGTTTTTTTTTTTTTTTTGTAATAATGGTGGAGGAGACTAGAATTTATTTCTTCTTCTTAATGTAAATAGTCTTTGTGTGGTTTTCTGATAATGAAAATATTTCCGTGGTTGTATTGCTCCTCGACGACTTTCCTCTTAGAAAGCAACCCTGTTAAGTTTTGTAGGTGCTCAGTTGAGAAGGTTATAGCTGTAACATATTTGAAAGTTAATTGCATAAATTAGATTGAGTTAGTACTGGATAGAGGGCTTTACGATAAATTTGTTGATTTGAATAAGTTTAATGATAGGATAAGTAGAAGTTAATCATTGATGAATGCTCTAGGTGCTAATGATCCTCGAGTTAGATCAGAAGATCATTTTTAAAAACAAAATTGAAAAGAATGAATGAATTGTGCCTGGAGAATAATTTATTGTTGATGATTGAAATTGACATATAATTTCCTGTAGTATAGTTTAAGAGTGGATTCATGTTCATTATGCAATTGGAGATAGAATGTAATGAGATAAAATTATCCTTGCTTTTCACAAGTGTATGATTTTACAATAGTGAATGCATATTTTAAGAAATCAAAACATTACTTAAATGCTATGAAAAGTGGAACAACAAAATCACTGATAAATTACTTTGAAGGATTTTTTTTTTTTTTTTGAAAAATAGTGAGGTGTTTATAGGATAAAGGTTGACCACATGACATAGAGTTGCAGTTGTATATATTTATCTTAAGAACATAAAGAAAATCATAAGAAATGATTGATCTAGTATATGATGATGGGACATGAAAGTTGAGAAGATGTTTATCTTCAAGAAAGGTTATGTGAGGCAAAGTATAAGTCCATAATTTTACAAAACTTTTGATGAGATAATTAATTCTATTAAAAACATCACAAACATTTTAGGAGTGTAGAAGCATATTTTATATTAGTAAGGATATTTGGAGTGGCGAAACAAAAGGTTATTGAAAAAAATGCCTTTAAAGAGTGAGAAAACTTAAATATTGTTGATGTTTATAATGATTATAAGAAAGTTAGAAAGTAGTAAAGAGTGTTGTGAGCCATGCAAAAGCGACAAAGCTTGATGATTTGTTTATTAGGCTATTCTAAATTGGGAGGATCTAAGATATATAGAATTGCTAAGCCAAGAGATACGAGGTCTAGCGATTTTGATATATTTGGATGCTTAAAAAATAAATTTTTTTAAGATCTTAGTTAAATATAAAGAGATCATGGAGTGATGGAAGTTCTATTTTGAAAATTATTAAAGTTTAGTTTTAAGGAAGAATTATTCTATTAGTGCCAAATGAAAAGGTATTTTTCTAAAATGATCAAAATAAATGGAG